CCTACCCACCAATACGCACATCACCTCCCAGCCCGCGGCACCCCAACCCCAGCCTGCCCCGACCCGAGCACACCCGCCCCTCCACCTCCACTCCTCCCTGCGCGGGTGCTGAGGCGCCGACACAGGTTGCCCAGAGAAGCTGTGGCTGCGCCATCCCTGGCCAAGGCCAGGTTGGACGGGGCTTGTAGCACCCTTGTCTAGTGGAAGGTGTCCCTGCCCATGGCAGGGGGTTGGAGCCAGATGGTCTTTAAGGTCCCTTCCAACCCAAACCATTCTGTGATCCTGTGATATAACTTGCTCAATAATTGAGTAATGTCTGTTATAAAATTGCTGACAACCTTGGTCACAGGATAGGGTGGGTGCTTTTTTTCTACTTTTCTTTTAGTTTGCCCCTGGGTTATAAAGCATAGAACAAACTGCAAGTGCCCTGGGTTTTCTGAGAGGCACTTTGTTGTTGTTGTTGCTGTTGTTGTTGTTGTTAGTGAGCCCACCGAAAAAGCCCCCTGAAATATCTTATCCAAGAAACAACTCCATTGAAGTGGAACTTGGTAAGTTGTTTTTTCTGTAAGCAAAGATGCTCTCTGTATCTTAGACAAAATTTATACTCTAGGAGTGCCATATTTTGTGTCGTCTTGTTTTCTGACCTAAACTAGTTCAGCGACCAGCTCAGTTTCCCTGTGCGGATCTCCTGAAGGGGTAGTGTTTGGGAGTAAGAAGGACAAGGCATGTTGCTTACAAAGTCCTAGGGAAATTTATCAGATGCAAAGCAAGTTGCAGGGACCCCAAGTGATTCTCCGTCACATCTGTTGCTTTCCATCACTCTGGAAGAGATTCTAAGGACAGATCCATCTTTGAATCTGCAGGGAAAGTGATGCCCCAGAGAGAGGCATCTTCTTCTTGGATTTAGCCTCTTCCTTTGTTCCAGTCTCTTTCTGAACCTGCAGATCACTGAGTATACAGACCCTCTGCTAGAGTAACTTTTCTGAAAAGATGTGGGGGCATCCTTAGTTGGTCTGTGTTGGGAGTCTGTGAACAGGATTGTCTAGAACTTAATTCGATTATGGAAATTAACTTTTCACTTTGTAACACAATTTTATAGGCTCACTGGTTACAGTGGATTGCAATACAACAGGTGCTGATGGGTATGAGGTGTTTTGGACAAGCAATGGTGTGTATATTGATGTATTTTTTATGAACAGAATTTTTGCAAGTCCCTATGAGTAAGTATATTTTCAGATTAGAAAATACCATGTTGTCAACCAACATGGAACTTTCTCCCTTTGACAATAAAATATTTAACAACAGTTTTCATTTGCTCTAAACAGCTTTCTTTTTAAAGATTCCAACGCTTGCCTCCTCCAGATCACTTTATGCTTTGCCATAGAAACTTGAATCTTAGTAGGTACCTGTGCTACATGTGTGATTGTGCTTTTTCTGATCATTGTAAAAATCTCTCTTATTTTCCAACCTGGGGAAAAGGTTTATGTATACTTACAGTCTCATAATTGTATTACAACTGTAATTGCGTTACAGTTTGTATTGAGCAAGCTCTGGCTTGACAGGGACATCTTACAGCTGGATCAAGCATGTCTAGGCACATGATCTTCAGACTGTCTCTTTCTTATTTCTTCTGCCTTCTTTCCCTTCCCATCTGCCTCCCTGAAACATTGCAAAGGGTCAAACCTGTGCTTTACAGGAAAAACTGAGACTTCCAGGTTTCAGAGCCTTGGGTTAGAGAAACGTAACTCAGAGCAGCTGGAATGTTAATGGAAGACTTTATTGAGGACATTTGTATTGAAGCTTAGCAGGGTGAGAGGAGAAAAGGGGGACAGACTACCAATGTTGAGTTGTGGTTTGGGAGGAAAATGGACTTGGACTGAGTAAAGCATGAGAAAGGCAACTAGGAGATAAGTTGAGGGTGGAGTAAAGCAGGTTAAGTGGAGTTAGGAAAGAAGAAATTAGATCTGATTTGGAAAAGCAACGAAAATTGCAGCAGAAGGCAATCTGCATTTCTTAAGTAGGACAGGTTGGGAACTGAAAATTGTAGGGTTTTTGCCAGCTCCCATCTCGTGGTTGTTCAATGAAGACAAAAAGTAATCATTTTTGTAAATTCTCAAGCGCTATGTATGACCAAGAAACTGGTGAAGAAGTGAGAATGACATCTCCGAAGTAAGAATATAGTTGTGAGAAGTTAAGTCCTCATCGTAAATCAAAGGGGGGAAATAAAATGCTGCATTGAGTGCTCACCAAGAGAAAACCCTATACAAGCCTAATATATTGTACTGTCACAAAGAATTGTAATGTCATTAGGCCATAATGCAGAGGCGCATGATCCCTGAATTGATACCATAAAAGCAATGTTAGTTTTTGTACTGCCTAGCATTTAAATGGTCATCTTTGCAGTATTAATTGTATCACGTGAATTAGTCATTTAGCATTAGTGATGTTTATTCATTTATTTCTTATTACAGTGTGGTTCTATATATGGCCTTTAAGATGTATTTCAAGCTTTTATTTTGCATTTTAAATGGTAACTAGAATCTGTTTTCAGGAGAGTATAGTGCTTGACCTCATTTTCCTGGTGGTTAAGAAGTTGTTTAGGTCACACGTCATGGTACACATGACTAAGTCTGTGTGCAGCATAAGGAGCACTTCTGTGTCCTTGTGCAGTGTTATGTGCGATCATGGGTGTCTCTTAATGGTGCAGCCTGACACTTTAGCTGTTACAATTCCTTTCTGATCCATGGGGTGAAGCAACAGTTTAGACGCTGCTCTCTAGAGCTGAAATAGCACTGAGTTGCTGGTGTCTGCTGCAGGTCACCACCTTTGATGTCCTTCCTATTCCAAAGCTGCTTACAAGATGACACCTCTTTCTGTGTCACATCACATTGTGGAATTTCTCTCTCTCCGTCTACTCTTATAGGGGCTGTGAAGCCTGTAATAAGTGGTTGCTTACGTTTGTAAAGTATGTTTTTGTACTTCAGCCTACAGAAATCCTATATTCTTTGTGGAAACACAGCTCCAGATAAGTTAACATCTTGATGTTTTCCAGTGTCAGTGCTAAATGTCAGTAAAAGGCCCAGCTGTTGTTTGGCTTTCCTTCATATAATGCAGTTGTTCCTCTGTTTTGAAGCATGGTTGACATTTGCAGATGGAAACAAACATTGTCATGCTGCAGCTGTTAGTGATGAAGTCATTCCAGAGAGGGACATAGTTTTATGGCTTTATCTGTCACCTTTTGGATAGGGAGGAATCTTCTTATGATGGCCGCCCTACGCATTCTGTGAAGCTAGTAATTTTGGAAGTGAATAGTGAAGATTATGAACAACCGTTTGTCTGCCAAGCTTCAAATGCCTTTGGGCAGGTTGCATCTTATATTATACTAAAACACAGAGGTAAGAAATGCTTTTGTTCTTGAGGCCTTTTTTTTTTTTTTTCTTGACTTCTCCAGAAGAGGTTTTGATACCAGATGCTTCTATTTCATGTTGGTAGAAGACAGATGAATTACAGTTTGCAGTATGCATGCATGTACGTGTACATAGGGAAGGAGTCACTGTGGTAGTGTATTTATCATTATTAAAAAAATAGGTAAGTAGAAGTGAAAAAATGATACTCAAATTTGTATTACATTTGTGTGAAATACCAGATTTGGACAAATTCGACATTTAAAAACTGATCTTATATTTTTATGCAGCTCCTGACATTCAGAGGTGGCTAACTGGAGGCCTTCTCTCTCTGTTAATTTTAACATTTATCCTTTTCATAATCTACAAGATTTTCAAGATTGACTTGGTGCTTTGGTACCGTAATTCTGTCTGTGCCTTTACGAGTAAGGAAGGTATGTGAGTGTGACCAGGTATGTTCATGTAACTAGCCTATTGAATTTTTCACATGCCATTACTTCTAAGCAATGTGATTATTTAGTAGCACATATGTGGAATTTCCTTGAGGAATTTTCAGATACACACAAAGACACTTTGTTGGGGGGGATTTTTTTCATTCATATGAGTAAAATACGTAATCATAGTTGAGGTAATAAACACTGCGTAATATGGAAGGTAGTCATGGTGAGATAAGTCAAAAGGAACTCCAGGTTATTCCCAAATTAGCATGTTGCTTTTTGCTTTTCTGTAAATTAGTTCCTTTACATGTAGATTTATGGTCACTCTGATGATGGTCAATAGGTGTCAGCAGAGCTACATCCTGTAAGCTATCTGTTTAAAGATCTGTATTGTATTTTAGATTATATTGAAAATCAGACTTATTTTCTCAGAGATTAATTTTGCTGGGTTTGTTTTTAATTTTTTTTCTTTTTTCCAACTTCTCTCTTTTACTGCTTTCCTTCTAAATCCTGGCAGTTAGCATGTTTACATGCCAAAGAGAAAAATGCTGCTATTTTTCTTACGTGTTTTGATTGCTGTGTTGTATACTTATATTGCACATGTGTGAAAGAAATTGGAATAAGTCTAACATTACAGATATTTTGAATGGCAATGCTAAGAATTAGACTGACTGAAGTTCCTCATAGCTTGAAAATAAATGAATTCCGGGCACTGAGATAGTTAGTGTTCAACAATGGCTGTTCTAAATGTTTTCACAGAAAGGAGTTTCACTTTCTGGTTGAAAGTTCAGTCTTCCCTAAACACTTTAATAACATTCTAATGAGGAAAAATAATTAAAGAAACTATGTTCTGTAGCTTGTTGAGCTAAACTTAACTTGTTGAGTTAAATCAGATATTGATTTGGTTTCTTCATTTCTGTTTATTATGCAATTTTAACTCTCAAAACCTCAGCTGCCTTCTCGCCTTTTCTTCTACCTGCCTTTCCCACACAGAAGGAATTGGCATTTCCTCTTGCAGTTAGTCAGAAGTGGAGAGTGACTCCTCTTGAATTTGTTCCAGGAGAGGGTGGAGAAAGTCCTTCAAGGGGACATTTTCCTAATGCCCTGGCACCTCTGGGGTAGTGGGCTTCCTCTTGCAGGTCCCAGGTCCTGCATCCAGCTCACTTGCTGGCACATCTGTCCTTGTGACAGGAAAAGAAGCCAGGTTCTGTGCTGACATTTCTTCTTTTGATTTTTAGAGCATTTTAGTTCTTTGATGTTATTCTGTCAGACGAATCATGAATCATCTCCCCCCCGCCTTGCTATTTTTGAACACCCCAAAATGAAACCTTGCAATAAAGACGTATTGCTGATTTTTAGGTTTGTTTGGGTTTTATTTCTTTTGTTTTTTGTTTTTTTTTTTTTTTTTTTTGAAACATTTGTATTTGGTTTAGATGGGAAAATCTACGATGCATATGTCCTGTACACAAAAAGCAGTGGAAGCAGAAGTTTCTATCACCTGGAAAACTTTGTTCATAGAATACTCCCTGCTATTTTAGAACAACAATGTGGATATAATCTCTTTATATTAGGAAGAGATGATTTACCAGGAGAAGGTATGCTTTAATTAGTAGAGTTTAATAAGTGGTCTTTTGACACATTGTTCTCAGGTTAGAAGATTACATATACAATTAAAAAATGCCTGGTTTTGGAAAACAAAGCTGTATTTGTTTTTAATGAATAATTTGTCCAATGGGTAATTTTTTTATTTTTTTTTTGTTTCTTACAAAAAATTCTGTTCTGCTGTTATAAGAGTCTGCACTTTCTTTTCAGTGATGAAACTATGATGAAACAGTGATGACGGT